TAAATGTAGGATCCTCTCTTCTCAGACTTCTTTCTCTACCTCTCTTCCAGCCTTCCAATCTCCTGCTGGTGCCACCTAACTAGAAGTGAGAACCTAATTAAAAGCCCAGAAAAGAGTTCCAGTAATGATTTTAGAAAAGATGAGCCTTCCGAGAGCACAGAGCAGATCAAGAAAGGGTAGAGAATGGATCTGCGGAAGAGAAGACAGGGACAAACAGGGAATAAGTATCACAGCTTCAGAAGGTGAAACATCTTTTTTCTTGAACACAGCTGGGTTTCAAACCAATTTTTGAAAGCAAATAATGCCAGCTTCTATTTTAATGCACTAGTCAGGTATCTTGGGATCTTTGAAATTCTAAAACTTAGAGACTGAGAACAACCAGTTTGAAACACACAGTGTGAGGACAGCAATTCTTCCGAATGGGTAGAAGAACTAAAGTAGCATTTTTCAGAGTGACTAAGATCCACCTTGCTTAGAAATCAGTGTTTGAAATACCCGTAGATCATTTTGTGTTTTAGTGTTTTTTATTCCCTATTTTTCTTGAAATAAAAATCCCTTTCAGTTTATAATTTGTTTGGAAAAATAGAAGTATTGTTATTATAAGGAACATGGCAGTGCAAGTGTATTGATAAAGTGGTAACTAATGTTCACTGTCAGTATTGGGAGAAAAATCTGGTGTGAAAAGATTGGTACCAAATCAGAGTGTACATGCCCTGTCTACAGAGGGCTGTCCCTGATCAATGACAGATGATTATTATTATTTATCAAATGCTTAATATGTACAAGGCCCTCTTGGTATATTATCTCATTTAATCATGATAACAATTATATGGATTAGATATCATTGTCTTCCTTTTGCAGATGAGGTAATAAAAACTCAGAAATAAAATAACTTCTGTGCAGAGATGTGAGTTTAGTTTTGTCAGATTTTATAAGTTTTCTTTTAAAAAACTAACCATTTTATTATTATTTATTTTCCTTTTTTATTCAGCCATTATTTCTTTATATAAGATCTCTGCTTCTTTCTCTGCTTTTTATCCTTCTCTGATTCCCATAATGCAAATATTAGTCTCCTTTGAAGTTCACCATAAGTCCCTTAGGCTGTCTTTGCTTTAGTTTATTCTTATTTTATATAAAAAAAGTATTTTTATTTTTAAGTTTTGTGGGTACATAGTAGGTGTATATATATACATATATATGGAATATATTAGATATTTTGACACAGGCATACAATGTGTAATAATCACATCAGGGTATATGAGGTATTCATTACCTGAAGCATTTATCATTTCTTTTTGTTACCAACACTCTAATTATACTCTTTAGTTATTTAAAAATGTATAATGGATTATTGTTGACTGTAGTTGCCCTGTTGTGCTATCCAATACTAGATATTGTTCATTCTATCTAACAATACTTTTGTACCAATTAACCATCCCACTTTCCCCACCTGCATCCCCACTACCTTGCAGCCTCTGGTAACCATCATTCTACTGTCTATCTCCATGAGTTTAATTGTTTTAATACTTACTTCCCACAGATTAGTGAGAACATGTGGAGTTTGTCTTTCTGTGCCTGAGTTGTTTTACTTAACATAATTTCCTCCAGTTCCATCCATGTTGTTGCTAATGACAGAATCTCATTCTTTTTTATAGCCAAAGGGTAATCCATTGTGCATATATGCCCTGTTTTCTTTATCCATTCATCTATTGATGTTGACTTCAGTCATTCTTGTTTTTTTCTCCTTTGACTCAATGATTTCAAATAATCTGTCTACAAGTTTGCTGATTCCTTTTACTAGTAAAATCTACCGTTGAACCTCTCTAATGAATTTTTTAGTTCAGTTATTTTCCAACTCCAAAATTTATTTTGATTCTTTCTAAGTAATTATCTCTTTATTGATATTCTTATTTTGTTCATTCATTGTTTTCCTGATTTTTTTGTCTATCTGTTTTCTTTTAAGTTATTGATCATTTTTATAACAGTTATTTCAAGTTCTTCTTTGGGCAGCTCATAGATTTGCATTTATTTAGGTTTGATTTCTGGAATTTTCTTATCCCTTTAATTGGGCCATGTTGCTTGTTCCTTTGTATGGCTTATTAATTTTTGCCGCAATTTCAGCATTTGAAATAACAATCGTCACTCCCAGTCGTTGTACAGGGGAAGACCTTCACCAATCTTCCCTACTGGAAATTCTAGGACCTCTCAGACATTCTCTCTTGTCTTACTTCCCCTTGCATCTGCCCCTGGAGCTGCAGCTCTAATGTGCTCCTTGCCCTGTTTTCAGCAGTTTCCAAATTGGTATCAGTCCTATCAGCAGTCCATGTCAGGTGAAACAGAAAACAATCCCTCCCTCAGGTAGCAGCCACAGAAGCCAGTACATTGTTGGGCCTATGGTCCACTCTTTTGTTTTTGTCCTAAGGGAGAAACCTAATTATGGCAAATTTCTTCCCAGTTGCTCCACATTGTGCTATATGGAAGAGAGACACAAAAGGTTGTGCCAAATGTTATAAATTTGCCTATCCCTTTTGTTGGAATCCATTCTTGTTTTTACAGTTGCCTGAGTACTTCAGCTTCTCACCAGGTCTCTACAGTTCTCACAGAGGTATTCTGGCACATATGTTGTTGTTAACTCATTGTCCCTGTGAGGGGAGGAAAGGCTGTAGCTTACTATTTCAGTCTCTTGAGTATTCTTAGCTGTTATGAATACCACTAATGTTATTTGTATCCATAGGGTGATTATTGGTCTACAATTGACACCAACCCCAGACTGAAACAGAGACAGAGAAGCTAAAACTGTTTTATGTTTACCTGTGAGTCCTGGGGGTGGGGATGATTTAACACTTATTTAGCCTAATTAAAGTGAATTCTCTAACATTTGAACCAGAGAGTTATATCATTCCAAAAGTCCTCCTAGGTGTAGATTGAGGGGTTTACCACTGAAGGAGATACCAGATTAGATCTTTGCTCTGCTCTGGGCCTTAATACCATCTATGAAGAAGTCTCTTTCACTCATGAGATTAAGATTATTAATAATTAAGGGTAATTCCTATATCTTGTTCCTCCAGGGTTTAACGCCACTCTATACCTCAAATTAGACATCAATCCAACCCCTTGTAGGAGTTCTCTAGAGAACTGTGGACATTGGCCCATCGGTATGTGAAACCTCTATATTTTCTCCCCTAGATCAATCAATTAAAGAGTTGTTCTTGCAGCTAGAGGGGAGCAGTTGTGGTGGAAGGGTTACTTTTTATTGTACAGTAGAATAACCTCAAGTAACATCACTAATTGTGTTTTCATCCTCATACATTAAGAGGGCATTTGAACCAGTCTCCAATTTAGTAATAGAAGGAACAAACCATAATTTTAAGGGTAGGGATTCCAGAGAAAATTCAGTTGTGTTCAAATCTGTACTTTTCTATGTACTGGCTGTATAACCTTGGGTAGGTTAAATAACTTTTCTATGCCATCTGTAAAATAGGGGTCCTAATAATATCTACCTCATATAATTGGAAGGATTAAATGAGTTATACGTAAAGCACCTGTAAATGTGCCTGGCATATAATAAATATGCATTAGCTATTATCAATATTGAAAATTTTTAAAGAAAGGATACTTAAGCACTTCCATCCTGAGGCCCCTTGTGGATTGGCATTATGAACTGCCCTACTATGGCCAGCTCTCCTCTTGTAGTATTTACGATTAAGAATCTCTTCTTTATTGGGTCAATATGTGCAAACAAACAAATTTCTGTATACAACTATATCACTGATTTATATTGAAAGCACAAAGCTTCTGTCATGAATTCAGTATACGGTGTGACAAGAAATGGTTTGACCCAGTAGAAATGACACACCTTCCCTTTATCTCTGTTTTCCCTTTCCACTTAATTCAGGTATAATGGTGTCCTAGAATGTACCCTGGACTAATGGCCTATATATCCCCTTCTAGCTGTGTTACTGAGTAAACAGCCTCTCTGAGTAAGCATTCATCTCATTCATAAAATGGTATTGAACCATCCCTTACTGCCTGGTAGGGTTGTAGTTAGTCAGGCAATAAGATAGTGGAAAATTATATCATTATATTGCAAGGAAAGATGAATGTAATGCATGGTTAATTTCACCTACACCACATAGCTGCTCCAGCACTACTCCTACCACCACCATGGCTTATTCCTATTTTTCCTTCATGTCATTTCTCCAGAAAACATTTCCCTAAACAGTCCAAACTAGACCATTTTCATTATGTTTTATAGTATTATTCTGTTGATTTTTACATTACTTATCACGATTTGTAATTATAATTTTATTTATTGATTAACTAGTTTAATGTCTATATCTTTTAGCGTGATGCCCCTCATTTGTGGTCATTATGCAATAGACAGTACGGTAGCATTTTATGGAGTTTTGAGGGTAATGGGGGAGTGAGATTTAACTTTCTTTTTTTTTAAAAAAAAACTTTCTATTTCCCAAAAGCAACATAGCTACAGACCGTTTTAATGTGCCACTTATGCTACCTCTTCTACTCTTTTTATTTTCCTTCCTCCACTAGAACTCATTTTTCCCTTCTCATTTCTCCTCAGATGCAAATGTGACCTGGGTAGGGGGAGAATTTTTTAAAAAGACTCGGAGTTTAGAAAACATAAACAGGTCGCCTTGATTTCTTTTCTTCTTACCTGCTTCAAGTCCTGTGTGATGTAAATGCTATAGTGTGGAAATATCCTGCTTGTGGGCTTGTAATTCTTTCAAAATACTGAAACTGTTAACACCATCACTTATTCTAGCTATAGTAAGGAAATTAAGCAGTGCATTTTTTTTAGGTTAGTAAATGGGATCTGTAGGACTCTGAAAACAAAAGGTTGGCAGTTTAAAGGAACATGTGTTCAGAGTGGGAACACAGGCTGTGAACCAAGCTCCTTTGAGGAAATAAATTAATGTATTTGCCTGGAGACTGTCTGTGCCTGAGGTTGACAAATTGATGAATTCTACATGCTTACCTCTTCACTACTCCATGAAATTTAAAAAAAATATCCACTAGGATGTCTTCCATTTGTGTTCTTCAAATGTATGGCTTGAATCAGCAGGTTTTTAAAAAATCTCTGTCAGATGTATCTCTCTTATTAGAATCCAGAAACCACAGAGAGGCTTATTGCTTATCTATGTGGAAATTGTAAAAAATAAAAATAAAAAAGAAAGAGATGTAAATTGATTTTACAATGGTGGAGCTCACCTTAGTTCCAGTAACCCAGTGCCCCCAAACACATTACAGCAAATTTCAGTCTTCCAGCCCTACCACCACCTCTGCCACGTATTGAGAGGCTACATGATGCTATTTAATTAACCTGGAGTTGTTTCTGCTGTTGCTGTTTCTCAGCTCTTGGTGTTTGTAGGTGTTCAGATACCCCATACTTCTCCTCTATGAGTTCAGTCATTAAAAAAATACTTCTCTTTTTCCAGGAGTTTGTGGCCTTCATAAATTAAACAGGCCCAATTTTCTGCACAGATCCTTCTTTTAGCTAATAGGTTTCTCCAGGCTTCCTGTGTAAATTATTGCTTCAAGTAGTTCTTGCTTAAGCAGCTTCTCTAGAACCCCAAGAGGTCTCTGATACAAATGCTCTCCATGATAAATGGGGAGTTTGAGTTGTTTCTTTCCTTTGATTTTTGCAAAGATCATAAATTCAGAGAATGTTGACTAAAGTATTAATTTTCCCTGTATCTGCTAGTCTTACTTTGAAATGAGACTAGCTTTCCATGGGAATCAATTTCAAATATGTTTCTAATTATGTGCTTTCTGTTTATCTGGTATAATTGTTAGAAAGACTTCCATATTTCTGTCTATTTCAGCTCATCATGTTATCTGGTCTCTGATTTCTTTGAAGGAAAATGGGGGGAAATATACCATGCATCTGAATGGATTATAATATATAAACCAAGGAGAGGGTAGAGTTTGTAAAACTTACACATTAATTTTTAGAGTCAACACTTGAGGAACAGAACAATAAGTACTGGGAGAGAAAAGAAGGAGAGAAATGAGAAAGGTTAGACCAGATTACTTTAAAGAAGTTTGTCCTTGCTAAGATTTCACGTATTAGAAATAAAACTTCTCAAGAACTTAAACCTAATGATTCAGAAGATAGATTTTTAATTTTTTCTTTTTTCTTTTTAAATTGACAACTAATAATTGTACATATTTATGAGTACATAGTGATTTTTGATATATATAATATGTAGTGGTTGGATCAGGGTAATTAACATATCGATCTCAAACATTTATCATTTTTTTTGCATTGACATTTAATATCTTCTTTCTAGCTATTTGAAACTATATATTACTGTTAACTATAGTAATTCAAAAGTGTCATAAAATACTAGAACTTGTGCTCCCTATCAGGTTGTAATTTGTTGTTCCTTAACAAATTTCTCCTTATGCCTCTCTTCTCCTTAACCCTCCCAGCCTCTAATATCCTCTGTTCTACTTTTTACTTCTATAAAATCTACTTTTTTTAGCTCCCACATATGAATGAGAACATGTAGTATTTAATTTTATGTTCCTGGCTTCTTTCACTTAACATAACGTCTTCTTGTTCAATTCATGTTGCTGTGAATGACAGGATTTTATTCTTTTTTATGGCTAACCAGTATTCCATTGTGTGTATATGCTACATTTTCTTTATTCAGTCAACCATGGATAGACTCTTAGGTTGGTTCCATATCTTGGATATTGTGAATAGTGCTGCAAAGAACATGGGGCTGTAGATGTCTTTTCAATATACTTTTTAAAATATATACCCAGTAGTGGGATTGCTGGATCATGTGGTAGTTCTGTTTATAGTTTTTTAAGGAACTTCCATTTTGTTTTCCATAGTGCCTGAGACATTTTACACTCCCACCAACAGTGCATAAGAATTTCCTTTTTTCTGCATCTTTGCTGGCATTTATTTTTTGTCTTTTTGATAACAGACATCATAACTGGCTTCAGATGATTTTTCATCGTGGTTTGCACAGGAATGAAACAAGCCCCCTCTTATGTCCCTTTACAAAAATTAACTTAAAATGTATTAAAGATCTAAATGTAAGACCCGAAATTATGAAACTAATAGAAAAAAACATGCTTCAAGACATTGGTCTGGGAAAGTATTTTATGGGTAAGACCTCAAAAGCACAAGCAACAAAACCATTTTTTAAAAATGGGATTATATCAAACTAAAGAGCTTCTGCACAGCAAAGGAAACAACAGAGTAAAAAGATAATGTATAGAATGGGAGAAAATATTTGAAAACTACTAATAAGACAGGGGATTGATATCCAGAATATACAAGAAACTCAAACATTTCAGCACAAAAACCTGAACAATCCCATTTTAAAAATGGGCAAATGATCTGAACAGACATTTCTCAAAAGAAGACAAGAAAATGGCCAACAAATATATGAAAAATGCTCAACGTCCCTAATCATCAGGGACATGCAAATCAAAAAAAAAATTTAATTCACAAATAATAATTGTATATATTAAATAAATAAACAAATATTTGTAGCAACCAAAAAAAAATTGAAGATAAAGTTTGAAGTTGGGCAGATTTGAGTGTGATAACTTATTCTGCTACATTACCTATGTTTCCCTGGCTATGTCTCTGCTCTTTATTTGTGAAATGGGTGTACTAATACTAGTGGTATTCCACAGGGTTATAGTAAGGGGTAAATTTAAAAATGCAACTAAAGTGCATCATACAGTGCTTGGCTTATAGGAAGCATTTATTAAATGATAGCTGTCACTGTTACTGTCATTATAGGCAGGCTAGATACATAGAATTAACATACTACATATTTTTCATCACATAAGAAGTGGTTAGAACTGGTTTCATCACCTATATACCTGTGCAGTCTTGAAAAACATCAGTGAAAATCTCTATATCTCAGTTTTCTTGAATATCAAATATGCATAGGGATAGCCCCTACCATGTACAGTTTTACAATTAAATAATACAATGTAGGTGAAATTTCAGTTTTAACATTCTGGTACTATAGTAATTGCTGAAAAAATGTTAGTGGTTATTTCCATTATTCACTTGACCCCAGAAATCACTATCCTGTGGTTTCAAAATGAAGATTTTCATTTATTTTATTATCATTTATTAAGCACCTACTTTGTACCAGACACTATTCTGACCATAGATACATCAACAAATAAAACTGAATATTACTAATCTTTTTGTACTTTTATTTTTTGAGGCAAGAATGCTAAACCCAATAAATAAGTACATTATGTAGTATATTAGAAGACATTAAGTCCTGTGGGATAAAAAGTGAGTAGGGTTAGAGATTGGGAGTGCTAGAATAAAAAGGAATAAGTGGTTACAAAATTCATTATGCAATGAGGGTAAGCCTCTCTGAAAAAATATCATTTGAGCAAAAATTTTAAAGAGTAGAGGAAGAGAGCCATGTAACTACCTAGAAAAAGTGTTCCTGGTAGCGGTAACATCCAGGAAAAACCTGATGTAATAGTAAATCTAGTATGTGAAACTGACAAATTTTTAGTATGCTTAAATTGGAATTATGGAAAAGGAATGTAGGAGATGCTGTGAAAGAAGTTCAGGTGCACAGATTGTATATGGCCTGTACATCAATGTATGAAATTTGGCTTTTACTTTGAGTGAGACCAGAAGCTGTTGGAGGGATTTGAGCAAAGAAGAGATGTGAGTTGATTTAATCTTTCAAATAGATCACTACGGCTGCTATATGGAACATAGACCATGAAGGGATGATGAGCATGGAAGCATGGTAACCAGTAAGAGAGCTATTAAAATAATCCAAAAGAAATGATGTACACTTGCGCTAGAGTGGTACAAATGGAAGTGGTGAGATCTGGTTGGATTTTGGATAGTTTGAAAGTAGAACTGACAGGTTTTACTTACTGATCATCTATATGGAGTATACAAGAAAGGGAAACTGTGAACAATGTCAAGGATTTTTGGCTTAAATGGAATTGCCATTAACTGAGTGTAGTGGACAGACTTTAAGATGGCACCATGTGATTCAGGCCTATGGCTCTTTACATCTTCTTATAATTGCCTTCTCTTGAGTGTGAGAGGAACTAGTGACTTCCTCCTAACCAATAGAATATGAAAAAAAAATGATGATACTAACTTTTAGGATTACATTACAGATATGATAGTCACTTCCATCCTGCTAACAGACTCTCTACCTTGCTGGCTTTGATGAGACAAGTGGATGTATTAGAGAGGTCCATGTGACAAAAAAAGAAAAAAAAGCAGAGTCACTTCTGGCAGGTAGCCAGCAAGGCTCTGAATCCTATCGAAAACAATGTGAGCTTGGAAGTGGATCCTTCTCATGTTAACTTTTTAGATTAGACCCCAAGCCTTGCTGATACCCTGATTGCAGCCTTGTGAAAGGCACTGAAAGCAGAAAACTCAGCAAAGCTCTTTCCTGATCCACAGAAACTATAAAATAATACGTTTGTGTTGTGCTAAGCAACTAAATGTCTTGTAATTTTTTATGCAGCAATAGACTACTAATTAAGAAAGGAAACAAATTTGTAGAAGCAAAGTTCATGAACTACATGTTGAACATGTAAAGCTTGAGTTGCCTATTAGACATACAGATGAAGACGCTGGATATGGGAGTCTGTATTTCAGTGGAGATGTCTAAGAAGAGGATAAAAATTTGAGTCAACAATGTACAGATTGGATGTAAAAACATAAAATAGATGAGATCACCTATGAAGTGATTGTAGCGAAAGAAGCAGTTCAAGGAGTGAGCCCTGGAATAGTCCATAGTAAATAAATGTAGAGGAGAGAAAAAACTAGAAAAAGTAACTTGAAAAGTTAATAATGTAAGAGGAAAATCAAGACAGTATGGTATCCTGAAAATAAGTGTTTCCAGGGGGAAAGTAGTTATATAGAGTACAAAATGTTACTGATATGTTCAAGAAACATTAGGACTGAGAATTGACTGTGGGAATTACCATAGTTAATAATCTTACATCTAAAGGTTAGCTTGGAGTAAATTCAGGAGGGAATGACTAAAGAGGAGTTGGTGACAGTTGGTATAGACAATTCTTTTAAGGAGTATTACTATTAGAGGGAAGCAGAGAAATGAGGCAGTAGCTGGCGGGGGTAGTGGGGTCCAAAGAAGGGTTTTTTTCCTCCTATAAAAGAAAAATTATGAATGATTCAGTAGACAGAAAAAATGGGTGATACAGTAGAAAGAGGACACTGCTAAAATAGTCTTTGAGTGGGTAAGATGGGATGGGATCTAATGCATAAGGGAATGGATTGACATTAGTTATGAACACAGGGAAGTCACTTATACTAGAAGAGAAAGAAGAGTATATGATTTTAGATGCAGATAAGCAGGAGGAGGTGGTGGATGTTTTGAAAACTTCTGATTTCTTAAGTCTTTTCAGTGAAGTAGCAAAAAACAGCATCAGCTGAGAGTGAGGATGTAGAATGAGGTGCTAAAAGTGTGAGAAGAAAAAAACATGAAATAATAATTTAGGAAGATGTCTGAGTGAATGAACTAGAAAAACAAGATAAAATTGTAGGGCAGCATTAAAGGCCTACTCAAAATTTGTGGCCTTGTATTTGTGGATATGTGTTCTTCTTCAGGCATGTTCAGCTCCATGGTTACAGGCACTGAAGAAGTGAATAATTTGATTTAACCAAAATACCATAACTCACAGAAACCAATGGTCCACATTAGGAGGAAATTTTCCATTATTCTTCTCCATGGATGTTCTCAAAGACCTCCTAGATTCACTTATCCTAGTCTATACATTGGTTTTCTTTCTTTCTTTTTTTTTTTAAATTTATTTATTATTATTATACTTTAAGTTGTAGGGTACATGTGCATAACGTGCAGGTTTGTTACATATGTATACTTGTGCCATGTTGCTGTGCTGCACCCATCAACTCGTCATTTACATCAGGTATAACTCCCAATGCAATCCCTCCCCCCTCCCCCCTCCCCATGATAGGCCCCGGTGTGTGATGTTCCCCTTCCTGAGTCGGAGTGATCTCATTGTTCAGTTCCCGTTTTCTTAACACTATCCGTCTTCCAAAATTGTTGGAGCCCAACCTTCACCAATGCTGACGTCTCTACAACTCATTCTGCTTGTCATAGTTGTCTTAAGTGTTACCTCGCTTCTAGTTGGAGAGTATGGAGGTCGTCCCTAAAGCCTGGAAAATCCTGGCAGAATTAAAATAAAGCCCCTGCTCACCACTAGCTATAAATATCATCACCTCAAAATCTAAGAAATCTAAATGCCCCATTCACCATTTCTCTCTTTAAATTTGAAGGGAGAAAGATCTTTTTTTAAACTATTGTGCTTAGTCAGAGATAACCCATCTGTAAAATTGCTCACTCTATATTAGAAAATATTTTAATTATATTTTCTAAAGAATGCATACAACCATTTATGAGGCAGTGTTTGTGGTGCCAGCATAGCAGTGTCAGGAACATGTCTAAAATAGTCATGCATTATGTCCAGAATCAGATCTTCCTTTCAATGATTTAACCCCATATATTAAGTTTGGTATATCAATTAAGGCTTCTTGTCTTCCAGGCTCAAAATATTTTCTGCAAAGTTGTATTAGCTGGGGTCATTTCAGTCTATCAGACATGGTTTACTAACCTGGATATTACCTGGGAAAAAGTTGGGTATTTACCAATTCTTCTCCTAGGAGCTTCCTAAGGCCTATGAAAACCTGTAAATAAAAACACAGGTATTTGTGATAGGGGTCTGGCTTCAGCCACCAAAAAATTGCAACTCAGGGCCCTTGCAAAGCCTATAATGTTCAACTATGTCCTTAGCGTCCATGAGTATTAGATATGAAACTTACTTCTATGTGCTAAAAGGAGGCACTCAGATGTTTTTCCCCAAATTAAAGAGACAGTTTATTTCAAGGATAAATTTCCATTTATATATCACATCTCAGAGCCATCAGCTCTAAAATGCCACTAAAACTGCCACTAAAATGGCAGTTTTCCAGACAGAATAAGTGGAAGATTCAGACTCAACTAGGAACCCCATTACTTTATCATTATTGCTGAGTAATAATAAGCAAGCCCTTATATTTGTATAGCTCAGTATATTAGTGGTTGGCAAACCATTATTAAGTATAGATTCATGGACCTCACTCTACATCCACTGAATCAAGGTATCTGGGGATGTATCCTAGGAATATAATTTTATCCAGATTCTGATTCTGATATATATTCAGTTTTAAGACTCCCGTGTTTATGCTTTTTAAGTATGACTATACATTTTCTTCCTTCCTTTCTCCATAACTCCCTTCCTCCCTCCTTCCTTCTTTTGTTTCTTCCTTCTTAAATTAATTCACTCACTTGTTTCCTAATGCATTATTCATTTATACAACAAATATTTATTGATGCCTACTAAGTGCCAGACACTTTGGGGATACAATGAATATGACAAACATGAATACTGCCTTAATGGAATTTATATTCAAGTAAGGGAAAATATTGACTTTAAATAATTAGAAATAAGTGAGAAAAACATTAAAGAGAAGCATATAATGCCATAGGAATGTACAACATACTTACACATAATTTTTACATAACTGTAATATAGTATACATACTATTTTACATCATTCATTTTCATGGAACTTCATAAATGCCAGTCTTTGACATTTGTATCATTATTCCCATTGGTAGACAGGAAATTTGAGATAGAACTACCCCAGGATTATTGATTCTCATTGTCACTTAGACTATGTGGGGATAAAAATGTTATTCTTCCTTGCACTTTGGGTTTCCCCAAATGAATGACCTAGAAAATTTAAGTATTTCACTTCTCAGGTGTCTATTGTTATTTCAAACGTTAGTATAAATCCACCTTTTTATTATAAATTCATGCTCTTGTTCATTTTTTGTGAGTAATCCGCTGCCTAACAGTGGCTTAAGCAGATCATGACAGGACAGATTATTATTTTTTTTTTCAAGGGAATTGTTATGAAATGTGCAAGGAAGCTGAATGTGACAGTCACCACAATCTACTTTGTTTTCTATGTTCTAGAAATTGTAATATAACTGTTATTTGGAATTATGAAGTTCACACTGCTTTATCTTTCTTATACATTGTTGAGAATTTAAAGAACATTAAATTTCATAGGGACAGAAAATGTTGTATCCCTATTTCTGCGAATTACATTCCCCAAAATAGCAGACTCTGAGATAGAGGTGAGAATTCAAAAAGTTTACTGGGATCAACACTTGTGGGGAAGAGAATGGAAAAGAACAGGGTTGGGCAGGGGAAGAAATTTGTCTGAAGTGCAGACACAAGATGGCCTCAATTGATTCTGTGGGGAAATCATAAACTGGTCTGGCCCTTGGTAATCGTCCCAAGTTCTACAAGGGACACTGGCCCTTTGTTCTCTGGAGTTCACCAACGACTGGATATGGGCTGCCCAAGGAAGGAGATGTGATTTTAGGTATGGTGCATCTCTACAGTAAAGGTCAATTCCTGGATAGAACTAAAAGTTAAGTCAACAGCCAACATCCTGGCCACTTGAAGAATAACTCTCTCAATCTTGAAGGAATATATGGGTTAAGCAGTGCAGCATCTGTTATAACCATTTTTTCTCCATGTCATACCACACATTAATGTAAATAACTACATATAATTGACTTAAAAATCAGGATTATGGGAGAAATAGCTGCCAGCAGTTTATTAGGACGTTCTAAGGGACAATTCATTCACTGAATAAATTAAGGCAGGATTGCACAGTAGTCAGAAGTTTTACCTATGTACTTAAAACACCATGGGTTTTAACCGAAACTTGTCTGCTTTCTTCTGTGATTTGGGGCAAGCTATTTCAGCAGACTGAACTTAAGTTTATTTATCAAATGGGGCTTTCAGTGTACCTTTTTTTTTTTTTTTGGTAAGGACTAAATGAGAAAATGCACATAGAGCATGGTGTCTGCTTCACAGTAGGCAGAATCATTAAAAGATAATGTTTAGATCTGTGCATTGCAAGTCATCGTATTTTAGAAGCTCAGCTTATATAAAACCATTCTTCTCAAAGAATCAAATAACATTTAAAAATCAACTTTATTGAGATATGATTTACATACCATACATTTCACTCTGTTGAATTCTACAATTCAGTGGAGTTTTAGTAGAATCACAAGGTTATCAACTGTCATCACTATCTAAATTCACAATATTTTCATCATCCAAAAAGAAACCCAACATGCAGTAGCAGTTATAGCAGTTACTACTCATTCATACCATCCCCCGCCCTACAACAACTACCCGTACTCCAAGTTCCTGCCAATGATTAATCTACTTTCTATTTCCATCGAATTGACCATTCCGGACATTTCATACAAAGGGAATCACATGTGGCCTTTTGTGTCTGTCTGCTTTTACATAGCATCATGCTTTCAAGGTTCATCCATATTGTAGCATGCATTAGTAATTCATTCCTTTCTATGTTTGAATAATATTCTGCCATATAGATATATGCCATTTTTATCCAGTCATCAGTTGATGGACGTTTGGATGGTTTCTACTTTTTTGCTATTATGAATAATGCTGCTATGAATATCCATGTACAGATTTTTGTGTGGATACATGTTTTTATGTCTTTTGATTTTAAAGCAAATTGTTGGGTCATATGGGAACTCTATGTTTAACTTTTTGAGGAACTGCCAAACTCTTTTTAAAAGTGGCTGCAACATTTTGTATTCCCACCAGCTACATATGAGGGCTCCAAAAGACATCTGTCTTTTTGGTTATTGCCATCCTAGTGGGTGTAAAGTGGTATCACATGGTTTTGATTTGCATTTCCCTAATGACTAATGTTGTTTGAGCATCTTTTCATGTGCTTATTGGCCATTTGTATATCTTTTTTGGAGAAATATTTATTCAGAAACTTTGCCCATTTATATTGTGGTAAAATACACATGACATAAATTTACCATCTTAACTATTTTAAACTGTACAATTCAGTGGCATTTAGTACATTCCCAATGTTGTGAAACAATCACCACTATCTAGTTCCAGAACAATTTCATCACCCTGAAAGGAAACCCTGTATCTACTCAGAAATCATTCCCTGTTGTCCCTTTTCTCACATCCTCCCATAACTACTAATCTATATTATTTTTATCCTTTTGGATTTGCTTTTTCTGGACATTTCATGTAAATAGAATCATACAATATGCAACTTTTTCTGTGTCTGGCTTCTTTCACTTACATACTGCTTTCAAAGTTCATCAATTATGTAGCCATCATTAGGGTTTCATTTATTTTTATGGCTGGATAATATTCAATTTTGCAGATATATCATATTTTGTTTATCCATTCATCAACTGATGAACTTTTAAGTTGGTTCCACTTTTTGGCTATCATAAACAGTGGTACTATGGATTATCTGTGTGCAAGTTTTTGTTTGAACTCTTTTTGAAAACCCATTATTTTGGCTGTTCACTCCTGAGTAGAAGTGATGGCTCTTACATGATTCTATATTTAACTTATTATGGAACCACCTAACTGATTCTCACAGAAGCTGCACCATTGAACATTTCGACCAGCAATCTATGAGAGTAAGAATTTTTAAATATCCTAACAACACTTGTTATTTCCTGTTTTCATTTTTAAATTCATATAGCCATCCTAGCAAGCATGAAGTGATGCCTCATTGTTGTGTTGGTTTGCATGTCTAATGATGCCTAACGTCTAAGGATGTTGAATATCTTTTAATGTGCTTGTTGGCAATTTTTTTATCTTCTTTGCAGAAGTGTCTTCAAGTCATTTTCCCGCTTTATTAATTGAACTGTATGACGTTTGTTTTTAGTGTAAGATATATATATATATATATATATATATCTTACACCTTTTCCCTACCCTTCCCAACCTCTAATAACCACTATTTTATGCACTACTCCTATGAGAGTGCTCCTTTTTAAATCTTCCACATATCAGTGAGAACATTTGGTGTTTATTCTTATATTCCTGGCTTATTTTGCTTAACATAATGTCCTCCAGGTTCATCCATGTTGCCAAAAATGATAGTTTATTCTTTTTTATGGCTGAATGGTCTTCAACTCCATCTTAGCTAAAAGGCTAAGAAACAATATGGCTGAATAATATTTTGTTATGTACATATACCACATTTTCTTTATACATTTATTTGTTGATGAACACTTAGGTTTTTTCTATATCTTGGCTATCATTAAGAGAGCTGTAATGAATACGGGAAGAAAGATGACTTTTTCATGTACTGATTTCCCTTTCTTTTGATGTATACCCAGTAGTGAGATTGCTGGATCATATGGTAGTTCTATTTGTAGTTTATTTCAATTTTATCCATTTGATTAATATGTCTGTTTTTATGCATTACCATTGTATTTTGATTATAGAGCTTTGGAGTAAGTTGAAATTGGGAAGTGGTTGTTCAAGTTCCCTTGAGATTCTGTATGAATTTTAGAATTGTGTTTTGTATTTCTGAGAAAAGGTCATTGAGTTTTTTTAAGGATTGCATTGAGTCTGTAGATGCTTTGGAGAGTATTGACAATTCAATAATATAAATTCTTTAAATCCATGAATATATTATGTTCTTCCATTTATTCAGGTCTTCTGTAATTTATTACACCAATGTTTGGTAGTTTTCACTGTACAAATCTTATACTTCTTTGGTTAAAGTTTTTCCCATTTAAGCTGTTGTAAAAGGAATTTT